TAAAACAAACCAACCCCAGCCTATCACATTGTTCGAGGGATTTCTCCACCAAAGCAAAGATATTGATTTGGCGTATTCTCATTAGCAACAAGGAAATAGATCACGCCGCTGTTACTCGCAAGCGGCGCATTACCAAGAGCGGAAATCCTTGTGAATACACATATCGAGGCTCACAGAAAACCTACGACACACTGTCTCTCTAAAACAAACCAACCCCAGCCTATCACATTGTTCGAGGGATTTCTCCACCAAAGCAAAGATATTGATTTGGCGTATTCTCATTAGCAACAAGGAAATAGATCACGCCGCTGTTACTCGCAAGCGGCGCATTACCAAGAGCGGAAATGAATCAAGGCTCAAATTAGAACAGGAATGCAAATCGGCCAAATCTTCTACTATAACCACGAGGTCACATAGCCTCCTCCAATGTACCTACTCCCAACAGGCAAAACACAGCCATGGCTGGACTCGCTGGCACAAATTAATGCTATTTTACTTGTGACACAGTCCTGGAATTGTCATACTAGAAACTGAAGTCAACTGCCCAGGCCTCATGATACCACAACGAGGCTGGGTTCATGGGGGCTTATCCTCTGTATGTAGAACAGGAAGGCCAATCGGCCAAATCTTCTACTATAACCACGAGGTCACATAGCCTCCTCCAATGTACCTACTCCCAACAGGCAAAACACAGCCATGGCTGGACTCGCTGGCACAAATTAATGCTATTTTACTTGTGACACAGTCCTGGAATTGTCATACTAGAAACTGAAGTCAACTGCCCAGGCCTCATGATACCACAACGAGGCTGGGTTCATGGGGGCTTATCCTCTGTATGAGCAATAGAGGGAGTGACCAGTAGAGGTGCTGATGACTAAAAGTTACCATCCCTTGCTCAGCTCTTAAGCAGGCATCTTATGTCAGCAGAGGTGAGGAAGAGGCGTTAAACACTAGGGCTACGTCTACATTGGCACCCCTTTCGGAAAAGGGATGCTAATGTAGCACTTCAGCAGCCATGTTAATGCAAATATCGCGGGGGGTATTTAAATCCCCCGCGAATTTGCCTATTCCAAAGTGCTACATTAGCATCCCTTTTCCGAAAGGGGTGGCAATGTAGACACAGCCTAGGGGTACGTCTAGACTACACACTTCTTTCTCAAGAAGCTTCTTTTGAAAGAGATCATCTAGGCAGGGCAGCCACAACTTTTTTCGAAAAAGCAATCCGCTTTTTTGAAAGAGAGCACCCAGGCAATCTGGATGCGGTCAAGAACGCCTGTTTGCGGTCAAGAATGCCTTTTTTTGAAAGAGCTCTTTTGAAAAAAGGCGTTCTTCCTTGTAAAATGAGGTTTACCGCTATTGAAAAAACCGCCGCGTTCTTTCGATTTAATGTCTAGATGCAGGTGAAGTTTTTTCGAAAAAAGGCCACTTTTTTTTTCGAAAAAATCCTGTAGTCTAGACATAGCCTAGCGATGTTAAAAAGCAGTTAATTAGGTAACTCTGTAACCTCTGAAAATCTCAGTACTTACATGCTGCAAGCTCTAAAGATACAGAGCCAGCAGTGTGGGGTGGTAGTTGGCTCGGGGGGAGCCTGCGTGTAACCATTAACAGTAACTGACGAGCCTAGGTGTATCAGTTAACCGTTTATACAGTTATACTGTTACATCACTATTAAACACCTTCTTTTAACTAATTAAATCTCCAATAGCAACAGAAATTCCACCGGGATTTTGATAGCTTTGCCTGCTAACAGAAGAAATAGGGTTTTTTTTATTTCCAAACCTGTTTGCAAACGACTTTTCAACCTGACAGAGCCTGGATTACAATAACGCTATTTCATGGAATGGCCGCAAACCTTTGTAACCCTGGGACTGAAGAGATGAAAGCGGTGGGTTCCATGCAGTTTGGATTTAACATTCCAGAAAGGTGTGGAGGCTAAGTACAACCATTTCCAGCTTTGCCCCATGCCCTGTTAATAGTGTCCAACGCCCTGTCGGTAGAGTCACTCCTATTGCTGATGACAGTGTTGGCAAAAGCCACACGCAATGGAATACTGTGCTGATGAGCCTTGGGGAAAAAATAGGACACAACAAAACAATGTTAACTGGAAATAGCTGAAAGGCTCAGACAACTGAGCACCATGTAGTTCACACGTGAAGTGATTCCCCTGCCACAAACTTCCCCCTCACTAATTTTTAAGTCGGTGCAGGGAGAAGGAACCTGGATCGTATGATGCAATAACATCAGGGAGGGTCACAGGATGTGACATATTACTGCCAATTCTTCTGATACCCTGTTTTAACATCTGTGTTAACATCTCTGCCACACCATGGCAACTGACAGAGTCCAACAACTCAACTTCACAGTGGTGAAGAAATCAGTGAGGCAAGTCTGAGGATTATTCTAAGTGAGTCAAAAATGGGTTTGTTGGGTTTTTTCCCCTGTGAAAAATTCCAATTTTTCAGTGAGAAAATTGAAAAAAAAATCTCAACCATATAATGAAGAGAGTTGATTCAGAAATGCTACTATGGTGCCTCATGGGAGCTGTAGTTCAGCTACCTCACACCATCCTTCTTTTCTATGGGCTGGGTTCCCTGGCTGGACTACATTTCCCACAATGCACCACATTCTCCTTTCTTGCTGAGATGCCACAGTGAATCATGGCTGTCACATAGGCACAGTGTACATAGGCACAGTATGAGACATGTAGTCAGTCCCTTGGGAAGCCTGGCACGTAGCGGAGAATGGGGGTATTGCACACCCAAAAAGTACAACCAACTCCCAGAAGGCACAGTGACTGTATTTGAAATAAAAAAATGTTGGCCAAAACCAAAACTTTTTGGCTTTAGATTTTGTTTTAAATGAAAAATCTAAATGTTCTGTGGAAAGCAAACACAGATTTCAAGGAAAATATTCAGCCAGGCCTAATTCTAAACGTAACTTGCTTTGTTCACACATATACACCAAACCAGTAACAGAGATAGTCACTCAGCATGTGGGGTAATCCCTCTTTCCAAAAATCTCAGGCCAGAATTGATGTCTGATTCTGAAAGAGCCACTCTGCTTTAAAAACTGATGGTCCTCAGGGCCCCAGGCACAGAGCAAATTCTCTAGCTGCTCACGTTGCTCCCAGTCCCATGATCCTGTACAACCAAAACCAAGCCCCCACACAGCCTGTCTTCCCATGATTGAACTAGGGATGGAAAAGGTTAATCGGTTACCCAGTATGCATCAGGCTTACCAGAATGCTCATCGTGTGACTGGTTGGACGGTTAACCACACCAGGTCGGAGCAGCCCTCGCTGCGTCGGGCCAGCTGGCTGGACCTCAGCCATGTCAGATGCATCTGTATTGAGCTGGCAGGGCACCCCAGCCCTGGCTGAACCAGTGAACTGTTGGCAGGCCGATGCAACAATCTAATTTTAATCATATGCCCGTTAACTATTTTAACAGATATTGGCATCCCTAGATTGAACATTTACTCCCATGCTAAGAAAAAGAACTTAGAAAACTGTGCGCAACAGGGCCATCTACTGACATCTTAGATAGCGATGTTAATACTGTATGGCTTTGTCTACACTACAAGGTTCTTGCGGCAGAGAGTATGCTAATGACGGACTCATTAGCACAAGTTGCAATGTCATTAGCATATTTTCTGCCGACGCTTTTTGCGCAAGGGGTTTTTGCACAAAAAGAAGCAGCGTAGCCACTTCCATGTTACGTAAAAAAAACCTTTTGTGCAAGATCCTTATGCCTCTCCACAAAAAGTGTCAGCAGAAAATATGCTGACATCACGACTCGTGCTAATAAGTCCGTCATTGGCATACACTATGCTGCAAAACTTGTGGTGTAGTCATAGTCTATTTGAATGCACTTCCTCAAAGGCACTCCAACCAATGTAGACTAATTCTTTCCTAAAAACACACAAAGGAAGTGAAACTGGCCTGAAGCACACTCAGAAAGTAAGAGCAGAACAGTACCTGTGTACATATTACAGGTTAACCCTCTCTAGTCCGGCACTTTCTGGTCTGGCAACATCAGTAATTTTAGTTAGCCAGATATCCATTTACAATGGGCGTGGCCAAGTTTCTTATGGTCCCATAAAGTTTTACAGCCACCAGTCCTAGTTCTCAGTGTTCTGTGCTGTTATTTAGTTCTAATTTATATTTAAATATCTTCTAATAGACAGGTACACAGTGGAAGCGTTGGTAATGCTGCTAGACAATGTTGGCCTCCCATATTTCAGCAAATTCTCTGGTTTGGCACTGACCAGGTCCTGAGGGTTCTGGCCTAGAGTGGTTTGACCTGTATATGCACAACAGTTACATTAAATGAACCTTCCAGTTGTAAAGTCACATCCTCAAAAATTAGTAAAAAATACCAGAATGGAAAGTTGAGCACACAACTTCAATTCAGCTCCTTTGTGGATAAATACAACAGAGCAGCTCCTAAACTGAAAACTGGCCCAACACTCAGTTTCATGACCATTGTGCAGAAATCCACCCTCTCTAAGAAACAAAACGAGGCAAGACATTTCACCAGCGTCTCCCTAGCTGCTGGGCATAATCATATTCCACAGCAAGCTTATTACTAATCCACAAGAAAAGCAGCACAAACAGCCATTCAGTTGCCTGTTTAGCCTTTTATAAACAGAATCCTTGTCCTGCCCTGGTTTAAATGAAGGCACAGGTTGCAGATGGAGGAAGGGAAGTTAGAAAAACATGCAAAATTGATGTTTTCTTGCTGGTTATAATTGTACAAAGCAAGATTTTTTGTTGATGCAAGAGGGTGTTACTTGAGGTCAACTGACAGAAACAATCCTGAAGCACTGTCATGCTTTATCGTAAGCCAGATGCACTTACATCAAAATTCAGCCACAGTGTTTACAGCTGATTCAAACTACACCCTGTGTTAAGCAGTAACCATTGACCTGACTCATCTTGGTCTCAAGGAAGTGTGTGTGAGAACAGGAATATTTACATTCGTTGACAGTTTGGTCTTTACCTAAGGATGCCGATGAGGCAAAAGTACCCACAGAACTATGAGGCTCGTCACTGGTCCCAGCGCTGTGTTCTGGAAGGAAGCTGTCTGCTATATCAAACGCAGAGGGAAGGTCCAGTATGCTGCTGTTTTCTGAAGAGTGGTTTGAAGTTGTTTCATCTCCCTCCATGGCCCTGCTGCAGAAAAGACACAACTTGTTACAGGGATCCAAATCATAGAACACGAGAACTATGGGACCTAAAGAGGTAATCAGGTCCAGTACCCTGCCCTCATGGCAGGACCCAGTACCCTCTAGATCCCTGACAGATGTCTGTCTAACCTGCTCTTAAATATCTCCAGTGATGGAGATTCCACAACCTCCCTAGGCAACTTATTCCAGTGTTTGACCACCCTGACAGGTAGGAAATGTTTCCTAATGTCCAACCTAAACCTCCTTTGCTACAGTTTAAGCCCATTGCTTCTTGTCCTATCCTCAGAGGCCAAGGAGAATAATTTTTCTTCCTCCTAGTAACACCCTCTTAGATACCTGAAAGCTATTATCATGCTGTTTTGTAGCAAGAAAACCCAAAGGAAAGCAAACCTTGAAAAGCTTATCTGGTCATGCTCTTTATTATCACACAGCAGAATTTTGTTTTCGGTATTTAGTTATTGATTAAACTAATTGAGAGTGGGTCTAAGAAGAGGAAGGGGATATGAAAGAAGTAGACTTTGTTCCGCTCAGGCAAAGGGGATAACTTGGAAGTTTTAAGCATCGAGTCTGACAAAGCAGGGCTCCCTGGAAACATATCAAGTCCAGGAAAATACCGAGACATGTGCTCAGCATTGAGCACATGAGCCAAGTTAGACTGCTCATGTGGTTAACATTAAGCAGCTGCTTGGAGTCTTTTTTCTGCATTGAGGCAACTGCCAGCAGCTGGGTCAACTCATCCCTTCAAACTGAAGACACTGCAGCTCACTAGTAAACAGGAGGGTGTCTTATGAAACTGACACCCCCTCTGTGTTGCATGGACATTAATATTCCTACACCACATGATGAAACACTTGAACTATGTCTAGGAGTCCCTGGCCAAAATTCCATCCCTGCACCATGTGCCGTGCACCACTCTTCTGCTATCCTCCACACTAGTCATATTGTTACAAGCAGGGTTCCCAACACTATCGTGCTGTACGAACTAGGGTTGTTAGATAGCAGGTAATAGAATAGTCAACTAACCAGCTATTCTATAGTCCCCGGCCCGGCCAGTCCTCTCCCTCCCAGAGAGCCCCCTGCCACCCAGGGCCTCTGTATTAGAGGCAGTAGCGTGGGCTGCCAAGTGGGAGCCAGTCCATGAGGGAAGTCTTCTTAAAGACCAGCTCCCCGTGCAGACCAGCTGCCTGCTGCCCTGCATTGCTGCCTCTGAGACAGAGGCAGCAGCCCCCTGTCCGCAGGAGTCCAACCTCTGTTGCTGCAGATCTCAGCAGCCTCTGTCCACGGAGAACCTGGGCCCACTGCAGGCAGAGGTTACTTCACAGCAGCCTCACCTGGCCCACCGCATTGCTGCCTCTGATATAGGCAGCAACGCCAAGGCAGAGG